ATTTACTTAATGGTGTTTAACTGGAACTGGTTCTTTTCCAGTTATTCTAAGAGAGGTTCTGTAATTCCAAACACAGTCAGCACTATTTACTATTTGTCTAGGCAGTGACGAAAAGGATGAAATGGCAAGAAAACTAATAATCTGATATAGATATGAGCAGAATATAGTCAAGGTTCTAATTGTAGATATCTGAGAACTTTGCAGTAGAGAAGAGTTTCCAGCTCCTAGTTCTGGCAGCATGATAACAACAGTAAATGCGGCTGACATAAAGCAAACCTGGGGTAATGAACTTGAAAGGAATGTGAAATGTGTTCCATTCTGGGGGCTGAAAGTCCATTCTGAATCTCAGGGCTATGCTGTATTAGGAATAGGGACAACATTTGCATGTTTTACATTGTACTGTAAGCAGGGGGAAGAACTGATATATCAGTCCTACTGCATCAGCTCCAAGTTAATGCAGACTGTGGGTAGAACCCTGGAAAGATGTGTGTGGAAAGATAATTGTCTTTGACCAAAAGAGTTTCCTTTCCTTCCAGAACAGTTCAGCTTGGCAGTCTGTACCAGAAGCAAACATTATTAGACTGGTCAAAGATTTATAAACTCACATAGTGATGATAAAGAAGGCTGGGGGCCATTTGTACAGTTAAGAGGCTCTCATGACTTCACTTCCACTTAGAGTTAATTTCAACAATGAACAATAGGGCATCCCTTTCATCTGTTCCTTAAATGTAACAGAAAATGATACATTTCATAGTGGGGAATAGCAGTTCTTAGCAGTCTCACAGCTGCAACAGTATCTACTGAACTATCTAGGTCGTTTCTAGTTCCTACTATCCCTGGCCTCTACCAATAATATGGCTAGGTTCACTAATTATTAAATCAATGATTCCCAAACTTTTGTCTTCCAGGTGTTTTGGATTTCAACTCCCCAAACCCCTAGCCAGCTTGGTCAATGGTCAGGAATCCTGGGAGCTGAGGTCCAAAACATCTGGAGGATGAAACTTTGAGAACCACTGGATTAAAGCACCTTTTTTTTTTAAAAAAAAAAAAACACCCTCAAATGGCTGTGATCTAATAAGAATCGGTCTCCAGAGGGCATCTGGTCAACCCGCTGTAAAACTGGGAGCTATCCACGGTGCTGAAGTCAGCATATCTATAAAGGAATATTGGAGTATACTAGGGTCTTTCAATTTCTCTCTTAGATTTTGATGAGGTCTCAGGATTCTGCTTTCAGTACTGTTGTTGTGTGCCTTTAAGTTGCTTTTAGCATACCAGTGTTTTCTTGGCAAGATTTGTTCAGAGGGTGTTTGCCTTTGCCCTCCTCTGACACTGAGAGAGTGAGACTTGTCAAAGGTCACACAGTGGATTTCCATGGAACAGTGAGGATTCAAACCCCGGTCTCTAGATATATGGTTCAGTGCTTAAACAGCTACACCATGTTGGCTCATTGTACTGTATACCAAACAAATTACTTCTCAAATCTTGCTTTTAAATTCCTTCATTCGAAACTTTATCAAAGCAAAAGAAACTGGCAAACATTTTGGTACTGAAATCCTGCTTTAGACAAATTTAAAAGAAGTAGCTGTTGTAGTCTGTTTTGTCATAAAAATAACTTCTTGGCTGTGTCCTTGACTGAAGTAGCAACAGTCTTGCAGTCTTATGAGTGGTGTGATCTCAGAGAGACAGGCTAAAATAAATGGCAGGCAGTTATAGCACTAAGGAGGGTCGGCAGGTTTGTCTCAGCAGTTTGGCTTTGCTTCAAAGTCAATAAACTGCATGCAGCATTCCCAATAAATGTGACCTCTGGCATGGGTGTGTTGGGGAAAGGTAGCCTCCGAGCTTGGAAAAGTCATTCTATTGGACTACTACTCCTAGATTCCCCATGGCCATGCTGTCTGAAAAGTTCTCATGCAAAGAGAAAAACGATAATGCTGAAAAATGTAGAGGGAAGTAGAAAGAGAGGAAGACCACATGCAAGATGGTTGGAGAGGCCAGGAGACCTAAGCAGACCAGTGGAGGACAGAGGGGCTTGGAGATGTCTCATCCAGAAGGTTGTCAAGTGTTGGGGTTGACTCAAAGACAGTTAGCAACTACTACAAAAGTAGAAAGCAATTGGACAAGTGGGAAACTGCACTACAGGTGGATCGATTCAATAAAGGAAGCCATGGCTATGACCTAGCAAGACCTGAGCTGGGCAGTTGATAAACAGGGAGCTTGGTGGTCTCTCATTTGGAGGATCACCATAAGCCAAAGTCATCTTAACAGTACATCACAACAACAACAACAACAACAACACCGCTATCACAAAAATCACTCATGAAAAGCAGCAGCTCCAAAATAACAGCTAAAAAGACTCCAGCAGAAAATAAATATAGACAGAGAGCTTGCTAACTAGCCAAAGTATTGATATATAGTTAATGGCTTATCTAATTGACTCTTTGCAAAGGTTAAGTGTCTTTCTCTACAGAGGATTGACCAATTAATCTTTTGGGTGCTGTAAAACATGGAGGATTCAAATGATTCTTTTTAGGTGGTAGGGTGGCTGGAAACTAGAAAATTGCATTGCTTTCACAGGGAATGGATATTACCTTTTGGATTATACAACTTCCATAAATCCCCAGTCTGCAATAAGATACAGTTACTAGTACTGGAACCGGAAAAGTATTTCTAAATACTAAACACTTATTTTAAATAGAAAAGAGCTCTCTATCAAACATCTATGAGTGGTTAATTTTCTCAGCTTTGGGGCCATAGTAGGAAAGACCCTATTCTTACCTGCAAATAATAACATTTTTCTTAATCATAGGGCTCATGCATTGTTACTTGCTGTATTATTTTTTTCAATCATATTTGT